TCGTGATTTGGTTTACGGTATGTACCAGCTAAATATCAAGTTTGACATCTCTTTCTGCAGTAGTTACCGGAAATATACGCGTCAACCACCAAATGATCACAGTATACTATCTCCAGAAATTAGAATTTCTTGATGACTAGGCATTTCACTGACTTACTGCAAGTATGACTCATCAGCTGCATTTAGCTGAGTTGCTGTTTCGTAAATAATTAGGAATTATAGATTTTTTCAATATGTCCTCTTTAGCTTCACTCAGACGCATTCATACGTACAGCATAAAAAACTCGTTGGTCCAATATCCGAAATTAATGACAACGGAATTCGACCACGCAAATGTCTTGTCTGTTTTGGTGGTTTCAGTTAAAGTGCGGAAATCTTTTATTGATATTTTATATTCTTTATTTCTGCTTTAAGCCACTTCACCGTTGTGGCAAATATATCGGGACATATACGAATCTAGGATAGTTATTTCCGGCTGAACAATTTTGTCCTTCAATATTGACTTCCTGTCTAACCTACATACAATTGTTCGCATCTTCCAACTACAGTCCCCTTCCTCTGTTCTGTGTTTTCAACGAATCCCTCAACCCAAGAATGCTGGCCACCCTCCCCTGCTCACCCCTTTCAACTCGAATTCAAAAAAACCAAAACAGTCACGACCGCAAAACAGTCCCTTTAATAGGCCAACCTTCCCTCTCGGCCTTCACAGGAAAGCCGACTAGAGCCAGCAGCTATTGTGCCTGACTGCCCTAAACACCCTTGACTCAGTTTTCCCTCTTTTACACCGATCGGATGCCGCATAAGCCGTCTCCAGAAGTCATATAATAGCAATGGTAACCCCTTCTCCCTCTAATACACATGCTATCCAAGACTAGTTTCACCAGGCACCCATATGGCTTTGTTAAACGTGCGTCGCTCCCCTGTCTAGAGGCAGACGATATTTGGTTGACTATTCGACTACGCGTATCCATTGTTAAGATTTGTCCCTAGCTTAGTATGCACTGTTGGTTTACTAGTAACGTAATAATTTGCTTTTTGTTATCATTGGGTCTGACGTAAACGTTACTGCTGGATACAGAATCAAAGGAGGCAAGAAACTCGAAACAAGGGTATTCAATTCGTCCGATTTCAAAAAAGAAGCCTTGGGCACTTATATACAAATCCTGCGTGAATTTACTTTTGATTCACGAGAATACCCTAGTAGCATTTAATGTCTATAGAACGTATATAGAATATATA